CTTAGGATTAAAGGGTGGGCTCAGTTCAGCGCAGGCTGTGTCTCACCTAAAAAATCCATTGCGCAGGCTGGAAAGGTAAAAAGACCTTTCCCCAAATCTTCGTTCACGAAGACTGGCCATTAAATTAAGAACAGCTAAAATGTAACAGCCTCCTGCAATAGAAAAGCCCATGACTCAGATGCAGCCACGCTAGCTCTGCCTCAGCTGCAGCAACTCCAGCCCTGCCTCAGCTGCTTACTTTCAGTTCCTCATTCTAAGGAATTGTTTACATTAAATAAATAAAAATGAAAAAAAAAAAGAAAGAAACCTTCTGTTTCAAATTAAAAGATTCTTCTAGGCAGAAGGATGCCTTTGTCCACTTCTGCAAATGGTTGAAGTGAAATACAGACCAAAAAGACAAGCACTTTGCTGATTCATGATAACCAGGAATATCTCCAGCGTGCTGCTGATGATTATCCCACCCAACACACAGCTCCGAAGGGAGGGGACAGAGAGTAGCAGGCAGGAGAGCATTACCAATACCACTACTTATTTTTAAAAGCAGATTTGCAACGTAAGACTGAGTTGCTAAACTGGAGTTGTAAAACAGCTCATCAGAAATTCTGTATTAAGCAATATAGTCAGACAAACACAACTTACATCACCTATCTACAGTGAAGGGCTATCATATGTCTAGTACACAAATGTGATTGAAAGCAAAACAGGAAGGAAACAAAAAATCCACCTCAAACAGAACCAAGCAGCTGCATAAAATAAATTTAAAATCCTCAAGTAGCCTGAAAGTCAGTCATGGCAGATCTAATAGTTTCCTGTAGCTTTGTTTTTTACTAGATGAAACCACAAGACGCTGTCTGCAAGCTGCACCTGAACCCAAGATGAAGGGAGCTGTTTAGAACAGAAAAGCCACAAGGGTAAGGGCTTTCAATGGAGATATCCAAACCTGACATATGAAATAGCCAGAGATGAGCACAGAAGACTTGCAAATACATGAGAGGTAAATAACTGAAAAGCAAAAATACTGAATAAACCACACCATTTGGAAATGGCTGCTGTTATGTGGTGTGTGTGATGAGAGGCCAGTAAGAACGTCAGTTCTGTTAAGATTATCTTATTCAGAGAAAATAAATATATCCTGATGCCTTACACTTCTGAGGATTCAAACAAGCACAAATTTTCTACACAACACTTAAGAAGAGTAATAAGTGCCATATGGCACAGAGACTAAAGTCAATGTTAGCACTCATGCTGTGACAGAGGTGTTGAGAACATCACCCCATTTTCAGCAATGCCAAGTCAGTGGGATGTCTTTGCCCATACCTTTCAAGCACCTTCTTCCACACCAGATGAACTCAGTCATATGATTTCAAATATTCTGGAATGCAAAAAGACAAAAATGTGATTATTTTTGATTATCTGTGATGTTCTGCTACCCCGTGGGGCCAGAGGAGACTCAGACCAAATGCTACTCAGTGTGGATAGGGTCAGTCAGAGGAGAGAGTGGTGAAGGTGTGAGCCTCTCTTGTGCTACTTGGGCTTTAGCTCAGAGGCCTCTTGCTGGGGTAGATGCTTTTAGCTAAGCAGTCAAAGATCAGAGATGCCATTTTAAGCCTTGAAAATCAGTGATGATCTGTCTCTTTGGTAAAAACAGAGTTGCTTCAAAACCATGTGGTTGGATTTGTTGAACAAATTTCCCTTGTCATGTTTTCTTTCAGCCTCATATTTAAATCTTCATTACTACTCTCTATTGTCAAGGCTTACATTCAAGCTTCAGAAATCAACACAGTTACAATGAAAACAAAACAAACAGTTACATCTAAACCTAGGTATGCCTCCGCAGAATTATTCTCTTCTCCTTTCTCCCAGTGGCAATATTTGGAGAACTTCCTTTATGTATCTTTGTTTACCCTGCTCATGGGCATGATACAGGATGAGAAGGGTTTCTGCAGAACTGCATTTTGTATAAAACTGACTCTCTGCCAAAAGTGTCCTTCTCTCTTCCCTTTTTAGTTTTTGGGTTTTTTTAAATTTGTGTTAACCATTGTTATCAAGATAGCCTTGAAAACATGAGTTGAATGTAAGTAGAGACAGTACTTCTTAATGTCACTCTGTAATCCACAAATGATATGTGGGCTAAGGTTTGCAGTAGATTGTTAATGTGGAAAATTAAAGTCACCTCAATTTTAAAAATACTGAACTTGTTAGAAGGCAATTAAAATCACGTTTTACATGGCAATACTATTTATTAAAACCCTACTAATTTTTTGAGCAAAAGATTTCAACAAAGCATTTCTCCAAAATGTCTTCAACTTTATCTGCATCAAAAGAATTTGCTAGAAAAAAAAATTTTTATAGTAGCAGTGATTTGTGTGAACATAAGTCCTTGAAGTGCAGGAGGCTTTATTTGAACATTTATATCACTGAAGGTGATGTCTTTGACTAGTGCTGGTGGGATCTCTCAAAAGTCCTTTAGAAACTTCATTGCATGTTGCCCTTTTTCCATGCCCTGACACACAAGCAACACACACACCTCCAAAGATCAGTAATTTGTTTGGGTTTTAAATTTTTTTTTATTAGAAACTTAGCAAATGCTCCCCAAAAGCATGACCTCTACAATAAATACATGTGCTCCTTCGATTCTTCACACATTGAGGATGTCAGTAAACAAAATACAAACCAGTGCAGAGCTGCAGCCACATGCCTGTGACCTTTGCAAAGTCTGTTCATGGGCATCTCACTCAAATTTGGGCCAATGTGAATATTGGTGACAGGGGAGAGAAGAAGCTAGCTTGCCATGTATTGTGTTATTTGGAAATGCTCAGCTTCAAAGGATAAGCATCACACAATCAAGTCTGACCTAAAAAATCCAATCATATCTATTGTTTTTAGTTCCCCTTGCAGGGGGGGACTGGGAATCAAAGAGAGCCAAGTCTGTTCCAGTGCACCTGCTTGAGGGGCATATGTTACCTGTCAGCGCTAGAAGATACTCATGAGCAGTTGCTGTTGCACAAAGATAATCAAGTGCTTTAAGGTGACCAGCTTACACTGCAGCCTTGCCTTCAGCACTGGTGAGGCCACAACTTTGCTGGGGCCACTTGGCTCTGCAAACCCAAGCCAAATTAAGACACAGTTATTGGCAGTAGGAAGGACAGAAGCAGAGGACGTCTACAGAACACAGATCCAGAGCGCCATTCTTCGGCAGTGGGAAGGCTGTCCTGAAGGAACTGTGAGCTAAAACAAGTTTGGCCAGCAACCTGGGCCGTAAGACACTCGTGATTGTAAGTGACATGCTCTTCAGAACAGCTGGATCTGGCAAGAAACTTAATGGGGGTCTGGCCAATATCTCTCTGTGGAACAACAGAAAGTTCCCACAGGTTTAAAAATCCCTTCTTCACTATGCTCGAATAAATGTTAGCAGCTGGATGAGTGACCTGAACAGCCCCTCTCACCTAGCAGCCCATTCGCATGTAACCCTCACATGATTGGTTTTGCTTTACCTTGTGATACACAAAATACTGTCACAGGATGACTCAGACTTTGGACCTGGACAGGTCGATGAGAAGGACAATACTATCTACAAGTTGATCTCAGGCCAGAGTAGCACTTTTTTTCAGTCAGTCTGTCTGTGTGTCTCTGTGAGCAAGCCTATATGCCAGACCAAAAAAGCACAAGTAAACGATCAAGGCCACTGAGCTTGTACATTGGGTTCATCCTATACTGAGAGACATGTGACAAGCCAGGGTTGTCCCCAATATTGGGACTGAATGACATGTCACGTGGCAGTGAACAAGTTAAAGCATTATTCAAGATCATATGACCCATGTTACAGATTATCTGTCTTCACTTTATCAAGGAACTGAATTTTCATGAAGTTCCTAAACTGCTCTTGCTTTTAGCAAATAGGACTTTTTGCAACATTTGTAATTTAAAAACAGTATTTAAGACTGAAAGGAGGTCCTTTGGGACTCCTCGGGTGGGACTCACCTCTCCTTGGTGTACCAAGGTCTGAGGAGGATAGTGTATCAGATGACAGGGTGCGCTCCCTCTTTTGTGTACATCAGGGTGAGTTAGAGGCCATATCTAAACCGCACAACTGCAGATGCACACCTGCACAACCTTTCATGTAGAGCTGCAGCATGTGCCACAGCAGCTGTTCCAAAAGGGACATACACCACAACGCCTTTCCCCTGACACATGGCATCAGCTATGTCAGACTCAAAGAGAATGGGATGTATGTCTTCCTGGCAGTGAGGAGTTAATGGTTAGGCTTGATGGCATTTACACTTCTTTTCCAACCTAAAAGATTATATGATTCTATTAACTGGAGACCAGCTGGTGGCTAACACATGTTGCTTTTACACATCCTGACAACCCAAGAGCGTTTGGAATGGAAGCAGCTACAATAAAACCTCTAAACCAAGTCAGCTGAGAGTGGAGCACATGCGGCAGCACGGAGGAGAACGCAGGTTCTTCCTTAGCCGGTGCTCGGCCACTTTGGCCCTGGGCGCGTTGATGCCCTGGGCCAGGCTGAGCTCCAGGCCGGGGTCACAGTGTTAAAACGAGGCCAAAGGCGCCGCTGACAAGGCAGATTCTCGTTGTGTAACCAGCCCAAACAAGCCAGCTGGCCCAGAGCGCACTGAGCGGCGGCGTTTGGCACGATGCTGAAATCGCCAAACTGCTGATGTGTCCCGATCTGCCGCAACAACCCCGCACGTCCCCGGCAGGGGGACAAACAGCGCGAGGAGTGACACGCTCAGCACACGGACGCTGCTGCTCCGCTCGGCCGCGGCCCCGCCTGCCGCGACGCCCCGCCTGCCGCGACACCCCGCCCGCCGGCGGAGCCACAGCGGGCTGAGATGGCGGTGCTGGCGTCGTTCTCTCGGCGGCCTCGGCCGGGGGGCGGCCACCGGCCGGCGGGGGACACTCCCCCGCTGAGGGACGCGGCCGCCCTCCGCGTCCCGCCTCCCGCTGTCACGCACCGCCGGCGCTGCGGGGCGGGGGAGGGCAGGCGGCCGGCGGGGACGCCGTGCGGGGGCACAGCGGTGCGCTGGGGGACGGGGGCTGCTGGAGGGAGCGTCCCGTGTAAGGTAGGCGCTGCCAGCGTGCCGGCGGCTGCTCGGACGTGTGTTTCCCTTTCACCTCGTGAGGATTTGCGGTTTCTTTTCTGACACAGGGTTTGAACCCCACACCCAGAAATGAGGAAGGTTTTGTGCGTGGAGCCCGTCATTTTCATATACCTTTTTGCGACTTCCCTGACCACCCCGCTGGTGCAGCAGTTTATCTACCGGCGGCTGTGGGAGCAGGAGTACAACTCCACTTTCGTGAGCGATAGCAATGTCAGTCACTGCGAGCAGAATAAGAGCAGCCCGACTTATATTAAACAGAAGGTAAGACGGGGGAAGAAGTAACAATTGTAAATAAACTTGCAGCCAGGAGGTGCTGCCTCCGCGTAATCTCCTGTTTTATAACCTTACTTAACCTTTTATAGACAGAAAAGCTGTAGCTTTGCAACCTGCTCTCACTTTACTGTCTCATTGCTCGTGTTTTTCACTGTAGGTAGTGGTAGTGCTTTAAAAGACAAAGATTTGTCTCCAAGAAGATGCTGAGATAAATTCGTATTGTTGCAGGAGTTGAAAATCATCTGAGAGGATTTGGCCCGAATTGGCATTGGGCTGACATTAGGGCGGGTACAACTGGAGGCTCCTTGCAGCAACTCATGCATGTGTTTGTGAGCCACCAGTTGCCTTTGGGGCTCCTAGTGTTCTTTGCAACCATGTGAAGTTTAAAAAATGTCCTGTAATTTTGAGGAATAGGATCTAGTTTAGAAAACATTTATTTCAGAGGAATTACAAGAATGAGGAACAGGGGAGGTGAAAATAAAAAGGGTTGTATTTTTAAAATGTGAAAAAAAAATTAGCTAATCTTTGGACAATCAAATATAATTGATGATTTACCATTCAGAGTACTAGTCTGCCTTGTTGAAATACAAAGACATCAAAATAGCAGCATCTCACAGTCAATTACATTTGTAGCATATTTTCATAATTCAGCATGCTAGATAGTGAATTGTTGGTTAGTACCTCTTCCATTGCACTTCTAATGCAGTTTTAATGCTTCTGTTCTGCTAACTATGAGCTGAGCTGCCAGCAGGAGAGATGGTCATACTCCATTTTCCATTCCCTTCTCCCACCATGTATTGTATCTTGCAATTCTGCAGTTACAGGTTATGGTTTGGATTTGAGTGGGGCACTGATTCAACAGAAAGCTCATCTCTTGGTTTGAAGTGGTTGCTTTTTGACTGTTAAGCAGTACATTGCTCTGACACACTGTGGCCACATGATTGCTGTGCCTAGCACGGGAATAGCAGAGGGAACATATTTCTGGAAGAAATACAGCAGAACCATCCTTGTCAACAACAACTGGCAGTTGGGTTGTATTAAGTGGAAGATTAAACCACTGTAAGGTCAGAAAAGTAGATGACTTGGAGTATTAATTACACAGAAGGTGGAGTTATGGAAACAGTCAGCTGGCATTCCCTTATGCTGCTGTAAAGGTGGCACTTGAAAGTTTTTGCTCACATCCCATATTTGAATTTCTGATGTGCTGCGTATATGCAAGGCTGAGCACCTGAGCTTATCTGCCTCATTTGTCATATATAAAAGAAGATTTGTAATGGTACGTGTTTTCACTGAAGGTGATCAAAGAAATAATTCAGGATGTTTAGTGTGGTGTAGGTTCTTTGTCATGTGACAGAAGCTGGTCTTAGTAGAAAGAATGTGAAAGTAAAAGGGTCAATAGAATTGTAGTCCAGCATGACTTCTTGGCTGACCCATGGAGATAATAACCAGTTATTATCTGAGTAATTCTTGTATTTTATTTAGTATTAGCTCCCCGTTTGGTGCTATGTCTGGGCGTTTTCTCATACAGAACAAGCAGCTCTAAGGAAACCATAAGTTGTGCATACAGTTCTAATTGCAGAGCCCATCAAGAAACTTACATTTCACAAACATTTTTGCATTTTGCAACCCCCCCAAATTCAACCTGACTTTCAAATTGCCATCACCTATGGTTCTGGATATAAGACTTCATATTTCTTTTTGCAAAACACTAAAGCAGAGTCTTATTTTCAGCTGAAGTTTAGATAGCATCTCTGATTGAGGTGATGGTGAATTGACACACATTACAGGTCTTTTGGTTACAAAGTATAATTAACTTGATATTTGAGACAGCAGTTGAGTAATGGCCAACAGAACTTCTTTGTTTCCGTTTCCTGCAAAATTTCCATTTGCTCCATTTCAGTGATTGCCAGTAGGGCATGAGCTTTTGAACAATTACGTTCTTGTCTGGGTATCTTGCCTATATTTTTATACCACACTTGTTACCATAGCGTAAGAGTTTAAATGCTCAAAACACCCATTAATTTAAGTGGAAACTGGTTTCTGTGCTGAGTAATAATCCTGTGTATGGGCCAGAGATAATAACCAGTTATTATCTGAGTAATTCTTGTATTTTATTTAGTATTAGCTCCCCGTTTGGTGCTATGTCTGGGCGTTTTCTCATACAGAACAAGCAGCTCTAAGGAAACCATAAGTTGTGCATACAGTTCTAATTGCAGAGCCCATCAAGAAACTTAAATCCAAGCCCTTTCCCAAGGAAGTGTGAAGTAGGTGTTCTGGATTTTGCAAGACCATCCTAATTGACATATGTTTATAGATGTTGCTCTTAGGAGTGTTCCAAAGAGGCCCAGTTTGAGATTAACTTTTAGAAGCACATCTCCCTTAATAGTTAATTTAGTGCAAGTCCTTATATTCTGAGAATGAAGAAACTTTATACTAATCTCACCTATTTCAAAGAAAAATGTAAAGAAAAATTGAAGACAAAAATCACTTGTAGCCTGCAAAAAGGTAGAATATAATTCAAAATGTATAGTCTTTGCAGCAGCTAGATTAATTATTTCTTACAATTTGAAGAAAATTAGTCATTTTATAATAAAGTGACTTCAAAGGTAATTTGAATACAAGCTGAAGCAATCTGATCACTGGCTTGGATAATACTTTTTTATTATCTCAGAAAGAGCTATATTATTAATCATTAAACGTGATTTATCATCCCATTTACTTATTATCCAATCCATTCCTTTGTTACTAAGTAATATTTTTTATATTATGAGTCTGTCAGTTTATCATGTCCTGTACATTGTTCAATCTCAGGCACTGCGCTTCTCTCTTAATTTAATCTTTATGTAAATTATTGCTTCTTCATTTTCATTCTTTTAATTTTGAAATCAGTGATTTTAAGATCTATTTCTGTCCATTGTGAGTAATTTTTCAGAGTAGAGTGAATTTGCAGATTAAAAAACTAGACCTTTCTCTTCAAATGTATGTAGTTGTATTGATTATTGGAGTTACATGATTTTAAAGCAGCTGAGGGTTTGACCTGTCGTTTTCTGTATTTGTTTTTATTGGCTTTATAAAACCATAAAGTAGATAGTTGCATGCCTTTCACTCTACATGGAGTTTTCCTGTACTTCTGTCTTTTAGTCGTCTTGTTAGAAGACATCAAGTCTTTTATGTCAGCAAGTTTATGGTCATTTGTGGTATCTGGATGTGTAGCCATGTTCTTTATGTTGCACAACTTCTTCCAAAAGAAAGACTCGCTAATATTTGCTGGTTTATTCCTTCAGTATGGTTTGGCAATAATATTCGTATTATATGCTTAATGTGGGTTGAGATGATATATAATAATATTTAATTTTATTTTTAAGGCAGTATCATTTGTTTGATGCTCATGTCTTTGAACATGATGGTTCTAGTAAAGAAATGATGTCTGCAACTACATAGAGTTCTCTTTGTCAGCAGTGGAGGAGTTAAAGATCAGAATAACATTTTCTGTCTCAGTTTGTTCGGTCTTCGTGGTTTTGATCCTTCTAGAATGATAACAGTGCTGGACAGTAGGACACCGTGAATCCTATGGCAGTCAGACACCATAAGGGAAGAGAGTAAAAGACTTTGTAGTGCTGGGAATCTTGAAGGCTTTCCTTGAGGACCTCAGGATCAGTTGAATTTTCCTCTTGCAGTAAAACCTGATATCTTGTAAACAAAGGAAGAGATTGAACTAGAAAGTCATTGTCTTTGCCTGTAAATATAAACATGAATTTATAAAGCATTCAGCAGCTTTTAAAATTGCCCAGAATACATTCCTGTAAGTTCTAGGGTTTTTTCAATGTTATGGATGCTACTCAGTCAGGATTATGTTAGCTACGGACGAATACGTGGAATATAGATCAATATAGGCTGAGAATGGTGTGGGCCAACTTACACAGGTGTACCTGCTACTGATTTAAGAGTGCAGCCCCTGCCCAAGTCAGTGTTATGCCTCAGAAAACTTCATGAAAACTTTCAGTGTGACTTTATTCTCTACACCTTAAAGTTTATCTTAGAGAGTATAAAGGTTTTGTGCAAATAAAGTTACTTCCTTTTCTCCCGCTGCTCTTCTGTCTGATGAGATGGTTTTCTTTGAAAGGGCTGTTGTGGCTGCTGTCTGTCAAGTCTGCATCTATGCGTTAAAAGCAAGATCTCAATTAGCTTGCTGAGTATCTTTTAGCAGCTGCATTCATAACAAGATCTCTTTTTTTTATTAACCTTCCTTTAGTTTTTTTATTTTCTGCAGCCATTCATGTTCTGTTAAATGGTTGGTTTTCAGCTACATTTGATTTTTATACTTCTGTTAAAAAGAATTATGAAATTTTCCCCATAATGGGTGTTTAAAGTTTATTGTTACAGTGTTAGCTGCTGTTCCTTATGTGACACCTGCTGTAGCATATGTATAGAGACATCACTGTCTTGGACAGTTTCTGAACCCAGAGCTTTACAGTGTTTGCAAAATTAGTTAATTCACATATCTATGAGTCAGTATAATATTTAATGCTGTATTTCACATTTGTAGTTGTTATTACTGTTAGTAGTAGTAGTAGTAACATGGTACATTGGGATGTCGGAGCAAATCCTGATCTGTTTATTTGCATTATTTGCTCTACTCCGTGACTAGTTTCTTGTAACCCCCTCAGTAGAATTATTTGTGAAGAAAAATGTGAATAGGGAGCATGTGTGTTCCTCAATCAAAGACTGGTTTACTACTTGTTTCTGAGTAGTATTAAAATAGCCCAGTGTCCTTTTGCCATACCCTGTATTGAAGGAGTACCAGCTCTTGTAAATGCATATTTAAAAGAATTATTCTCTCATCTCCATTGAAACTTCTCTGTTAACAGTACTAGTAAGACTGTGTCTGAAGAACTAATTTCTGGTTTAAAATGTAACAAGGAATATTTGAGGAATATTGAAGATCAAATTACAAAAGCAGGAGTATGAATATGCAATTCCTTTGTATTAGTGATTACTGTAATATAATGCTTCTTATATAGTAATGCGCTGTATTTTATTATACCATAATATGTCATATAATCTTATAAAATTACATTGTATTTGGTTTAATAATAGTATAATTTATAATCTATAAACACATACTGTGCTATTCATCATATTGCACACTAATAATTATGTAAATAATATTGTTATGGATTGCCCCCCCCCAATGTATTACAGTATTTACAATTATTTTTATTTTCTCTTTGCAGGAAGTTCAAGAAAAAGCCTCTGTTTTTAATATGCAGTTGGACTTAACTGGGGCCATTCCCAGCCTTCTAGTTGCCTTTGTCATTGTAGCTAATGGGGATCGCCAGGGACACAAAAGGTCTTTAGTTTTACCATCAATGGGAGCTTTGATTGCTGGTATTAGCCTCACTGCAATATCATATTTTTCCTTGTCACTCTCTGTCCTATTTGCAGTTGCATTTGTTACTGGACTGTTTGGGAGTATAGCAACTTTCCTTGGAGGAGGCTTTGCTTTTATAGCAGATGGTTGTCATGATGAGAACCAGAAAACAACACGAATAGCTGTAGTGGATTTGATTTTTGGAGTTGTATCTGGATTGGCAGGACTCTCATCTGGCTATTTTCTAAGAGGAATAGGCTTTACATGGACATTTGTGACAGCATCTCTGCTTCATGTCATTAATATCATCTATATTATATTTTTTCTGGAAGATACCATAGGTGTATCTGAATTCCAGCATGAGGTACCAGTATCCTATAAAGAACTTCTTAGGGAGACATTTTCTGGGGTGTACATGCTTTTTAAAACTGCCCCTTATAAAAAGAGAATTTTAATAATTGTGTTACTTTTTGCATTTATGACTTATATGTTTACTATGATTGGTGGAAGTTCGCTTTTTACACTGTATGAACTGGATGAGCCACTCTGCTGGAATGAAGTATACATTGGATATGGAGCAGCTGCATTCACTTCTGTCTCTCTGACCAGTTTTTTAGGAGTTTACTTATTTTCTAAATGTCTCAAAGACATTTATATTGTCTTTATTGGGATATTTTCTTACATTGGAGGAATGATCATGGCTGCCTTTGCCAAAACTACCCTACTCATGTTTTTAGGTAAGTTTAGAATCAGTTTTTCCATGGTCAACAATATATATGACAATACTGCTGTGTTATCTGTAATGAATACAGTTGTTGAATATTGGACGTACTGTCTTGAAAGGGTCATAGACAGGTAAAATATACATGGTTGGTCAGACTGATCAGACTGATTTGATTAAAAGATGAAGTGTGTGGAGAGAACAGAATGAATTGCTTATGATTTGGTTTCAGCGCCATACAAATATATTTGATTTATTAATATCTCTGTGCATGGATAATTGTGTCTCAGTGCACTTCTAGTTCTTTCCTGTTGCCTTTTATTATCTGAGGAACTAAGCACTCAAAAGTGCATGACTAATTCATTTGCAATGTATTTGTAAAATCCTGGATTTTAATTACTTCAATATCTCATGACTGCTTTACAGTGAGAGTGCCATCTTTGTTCTCCTTTATGCCTATTCCTGTTCTCCGATCCATGCTGTCAAAAGTGGTTCTCACTGGTGAACAGGGTGAGTAGCATTTGGTTTTAAACAGTGAAATAATATGGTGTTTCAGAACAGAGATGCACCAAGATTACCTTTAAACTAACAGATCTGTATTGGTATTTTAAGACTGCATTTCTTTCAAGTTCCATATAATATGACCCTTTGTCTTGATATTAATGGCTTTTGATTCTGAATTTAATATAAACAACATTGTGTTAAAAACCACTGTAAGTTTCCACCCTCAAAGGAGATACTGTTCTTAAAATAAAGACCATGGGGAACTTGAAGCAGAAGAATGCTCAAGATTTATACAAATGTGATTTCACAAGGGCTTCTACATTCACAAGATTTTGACATGCAGAGAAAGATAGATTTTGTTATTTAGTCAATGTCACACTTACAAATTTAGAAAGGTAAGCAGTAGGTGGTCAACCTTCAAAGCACTTGAAAACAATTAGACTTGGATCTTCAGCTGTGGAGGAACCCATCTTCATGGGTGCCTGTGGCTTCTTAAACATATCCCAAAAAATGTAACACATTACTTCTCAAAGTCCTGTCCTTATGGAACACAGGAAAAAACGCGTATCAGGCCTCAAAATGTGGTTCTAGTATCCCATATTTTGCTTTTGGGGAGCATATATCTTCTAGATTTTGGGAAACATATGCTTTCTAGAAACATTCTCCCAAGTTGTTTGGTTTTATTTTCTAGAAGACTAATCTTTGTATACTAAATCAAAGATCTCTTTGTACTAGCTGTGCTAACATAGACCTCTGGTTTTGCAGTTTCTTGGCATTTTTCAGAGCTTTGGGTACTTGAGTAGTTTGATGCAGGAATCAGGTTGCCTCGTCATCCTTTTCTGCTTACGTACAGTGATCATGTTTGTGGTCCTGTGATTTTGAATACAGCTTGGGAAAATGTGTTCAACAAGACACTGATGGGATAGACTGCCACTCCAAAGGGTGGTTCAGTCCAAAAAATGTTCTTTCTTTCTTTTCAAAAATGAGGGGGATGTGGTTAGATGCTGAACCAGCAGTCTTCATTGGATCAGTCTTTTCGGCATACAGGAGTGAAGATTAGAGAAGGAAGAAACAATAAAGGGAAGAGTGAGAATAAAGAAAATTGGAAGGGATAAAGGATGGAAATGTGTAGAACATGACTAATGAGGATGAACAGGTTGAATTTCATATGATAAGCAGATTCAAGAAAGTAGGAATAGTGACAGAATAGTAGCAAAGAAAAAGTTTCCATCAGCAAAATGTTTTATTTTGCTTTTATTCATTAAAAAGAAAAAGTATTTTGTAGGAGTTTCCACAGAAGACATTTCCATAGCAAAGTATGATACTCTGATGCTTTTTACTTGTATACTTGCAAAAATACTGTCGATAGATCTTTCAAAACATGTTTAAAAATGTCAGTATTTTGAAAAGGTTTTATTTTGTTTTGTTTGTAATTCACCCATTTATTTTTGGCAGGTGCTGTGTTTGCTTGTGTTGCCTGTTTAGAAGTTGTGACCGGCAGTGTTTCAGTTTCAGTTTTTAATATTCTGTATGCAACTACTGTTGCATGGTTTTCAGGCTTTAGCTTCCTCCTATCGGCAGGTCTTTGTCTAATTCCACTGACTGTCCTGTGGTAAGTACAGATCAGGAGGGTGCTTCTGACTACTTTTGCCAGTAATTTCTGTTCTGACATGAGTTGAAGCTGAATGGTTTAGTGTGGTAATTCTCAGACTTCCCTATTTTCTAGTGTGTTGTAGAAGCTCCAGTTTCACACTTTTTCTCTGATCCAGCTACATTCCCTCAGCCTTATGCTGTGAACTTCCCCCAAAGCGAAGTCTACCATGAATGTACCGCTTGTGGGACACACCATAGCCTTGCCCACATGTGTGTGCCTTCCCTTGGTTTGAGACCTTTACATGGTCTTTTTTAAAGGAAAGCCTTTCACAAAGAACAAAAGTAACAGATCTCTTGAAATGCATGAGCTTAATTTTGCAATCTGAGCTTTTCTAGATGTTAATTAGGGTTACAAACATGACCAATCACGCTGTGAATTTAATGGAAAGCTCTCTGTCCTGGTCTTTGGTCATACCTTGTGACCCAGTGCCAGTAAAATCTGTAAAAGACTTTAAGGCCCAAAAGAATAAACCTGTAGATGTGTTTAAAAAATAGACCTCTATAGCAGTTGTGTCTAATTGTATCTGGTGACCACCTAGTAATACTGACAGTGAAATACCATTATTCTTGAGTACTCATAAAAGCAAAGGTCACTTTATGTTATTTCCAATATAAATTACTTCTTTTTAGGATGCTGAAACAAAACTTTAAGTGACAGAAGGGTCATTTTTCATTAGATAGATTTATATTCAGTGGGAGGGGGGGAAAGATGTATTCCTTAAGAGGGTGGCACGCTTGCTAGAAACTTGTATAGTTTTTCCTAATACTTAGACTTCACCTCAGTCACCTTTTATCTCTATATCAGCTACACTTTAAGATTTAAATAGGCAGTGATAATGCTGTAGCTTTAGAACATTTCACATAATTTCAAGTCTGTACCTGCTTCACTACAGATATTTACCATCAATCAGTCCATCCCGCCATCAGGACTGTAGTCCATCATCACCATAGATTTTTGAAGTTATTTTTCTTTATCTTCTATCATTAGTGTTTCAGGTATCAGACCCTTTGAATAACCTTTCTCTGAACCTTTCTTTTGAGAGTGTCATGAAATGTTGCTGTTTGAGAGCGAAAAGGGTAGTTGTTCCAGTCTGTAATGGACATGGTAGTTGAGTACTTTGATCAAAGACAGAGTAATGATATTGTCTGTCTTCTGTAATGAGTACAAGTAGTGTCATTGCTTTTGTTTACTAAGATACATCAAGAGCTTTGTGCCACAGAAGATGGCTGTACAGAGCTATCCAGTGTGTTTGTTGGTGCTGAATCAGAATGCTGTTACTATCTCAACCAAAGATATCTGTCTTATCTTTGTCTTACAGCTGGCTTCTGTGCACAAGCTGGAATGGGGAGGACTTGGCTCTGCTGGTACCTGAAGAAGTATCCAGCATAGAGAGTGCTGATAGTTGAACAAAGGATCCACATACCTGGCATTTCTAATCTCACATGCAGTGGCACAGACCATTCTGTCATACAGAGACCATAGAGATAACACAACACAATCTCCAAGTGGCCCTGCAGCAATAAGCACTAAATTGGTAGCACTCTATACTCAGTCTTTCAGCACTTGACTAAAGCTAGCTCTTAACTATGCAAATAGGCAGGCAATTGAGATTATAATGCTGCTTTCAGCATGAGGAAAAAAATTAGGTAGGGTGATACTCCTTCCACTTACCCTTTCTCAAGTTTGAGAGTGTCAGGTATAGATTGTGATACATCTTGTATCATTCTAAATGGGGTGACAGAGATAAGTTATCAACTCAGAGGGTGCTGGCAATTCTGCTGAAGCCATTGGAGCTTATGCCAGATGAGGATGTGGTCCACTGTGTACATCTTTAAAGTCCTATCTTAATGATGAAGCCCCCAAACCTTTCTAAAATTACTAAAAAGGTACTGGAGGCAGTACTTAACATCTGCTGTAAGCAGACTTACTGCTCTGCAGCTAGCAGAGTGTGTTTGTGTAAGTATAATGTATGATGTGTGGACCTTGCCTGTGATTTAGTTCTTAAAACGGATTTTTACACAGAACTTTCAGGAAATTTCCAGCTTGCAGAGTGTGAAGTTCAGCCTGTGCCTACATTTTGCAGAGGCAATATTGCACATTTATAATTTTCCGTATATTAGGGACCGCATACAGACATCTCTATTTTTTGTCCCAGAGATATTTCTTATTTTCTAGTTAAGTTGGTACTTGGTTTAAATGTTTCTTTTAGTGAAAGGCTGTAATAGCATTTCTTATCAGTGGATCTTTATTTTTTTCACAACCCTGAAATGAGGTGACCAAATCTGAATCATGAATCTAATTGTCTTGTAACAAATGCAGCATAATTATATGAGCACTTGAAGAGCATTTCTCATCTTCAAAGCACTTTACAAATGCTATTAAGAACATTCTTCCATAATAGATGCTCTCTTCCCTCTTGCATAGAGAGAGAAATTAACGGAGAGGACAAGTGACATGCCCAAGGCCACAGTGCAAACTGGTGAGACTGCCAAACCTAGGAATCAGTTTCAGCTTTGACTCCTCACCTTTTCCCTTGAGATCTTTAAGTAGAAATTATTCTGAGTACTAGCTTCTGGAGTGCACAGTGGAAGTGAAAACATAACACCATGTTACAGACCACTCCCATATGTTGATTTTTTTAAGAGTTTGACAGCCAATACTGTTCTGATCTCTGAAAGTTGTGTGTGACTTGTCCCCCCAAACAGATTAGACAGAGAAGTCAAAATCATGGAAAGTGGCTGACATTTAGAGAAGGAGACCTCTAGGAAAGCAACTATGATGTGGGAACTGACTTGCACACAGCATAGGATAAAAATGCACAGACATAGCATGTGCTGTATAACTGATGACCTGCTTACAGCCATTGATACCCATCACATGAACAGAGAACTCCTGCAGAACTTTTCAGTGGTACTCCACCAAGAAATAGTAGTACTGCATCATTATGATACTATTGTAGATCCTTCACAATTGAACAATTGCATCACAAGGTATATATTGTGCTCACTGAGGTTTGAAAGAGGGTTCAAATAAGGTAAAGGAGAGCTTACACTATGCAGGAGACCACTGCCTGCTCATCACAGGTGAAAACAGTACCATTTATCCAGGGCAGGGGGAACATTTACACAGCTAACAGCTATAGCCAGCTCTTACACTTCTGTCCTGAACTATGGAGGCTCATGTTAGCAAGTAAAGATCATTAGCTTTTCCTTGGTAGTTTAGACACTAGCCAGAAAATAAAACTGCTTAACTCTCCTCCTTTGAGGTGCCCAAGTTGCTGCCAACTTGTGGGCAGAGTTCTACAAGTGGGTCCAGAACATAATGAGTACTTGTAGAGAGATTAAGAAAACACTGATGTAAAGGATTTCAGCACAAAGATTACATTGTCTTCCTTGCCTCTTCATTATGCAGTTATGTAAGGCTTTATGAAATTAACTATTTCACAGAAAACTGCCAGGGAAAAAAAAGGCAAATGAAGAAGGGGCGTGTGCCTTCACTTCCTCTTCACACCTCTGGTAGCACTGAGACAGTAGCAACAAAGCAAGCCAGTTCATGGTGGGGTGCATTAGTCCAACTGAGAACAAGCACGTACGCTTCAGGAACGGCTTTGTTATGGTTTGCTTTTACTGTACAAAGTATGTGCTGTTTGCAAAGTATTTCTTGGAGATGCAGCATTTAGAACTGGCTGTAAATTTGGGTCAAAACACCAAGGATATGAACTGTGTTAAAATGCCCAGCATGGTGCAAGCTGAGGACCCAGTACTAATATGCTTCAGATTAATAAATCAAAATATCAGTTTATAATAATTGTTTTGTGTATAATGCAAATGATTTTGATATAAATTAATAATGAAGTTTGGTTTTTTTAACTCTGTTGCATTTGTAGTTCTTGCACTTTTTAAAATTTTGACAAATGGCCAATGGCATGACTGGTAGAAGAATGTTTGTGTAAACAGAAGCAGCAGCACTATGGTATCATCTATTTTTTGTGATCATAACAAACAAACAGCAGAGCAGGAAGATGGGCTTTTGCCTCCCTCTTGTGCCGGGGAGAGGAAAAAATGCTGCCGAGAACATCAGTACCAAGAGAAGGCAAGGAACTGCAGAGCAGGGACAGCATGCCATGTGGAAGAAGTCGGGGTGGGGGCTTCTGTTGTACCTGCCAGAGCAGTGGATCTGGAAGTGTTTTCCTCCCCGTGCTCTGTCAGGGTCTGTCCCAGCTCCACTGCCCAGGCGTGGCATGCCTCTGTGGGTTGCTACATGCAGTACCCGCTTTACAGAATGAGGTTTATATGAAATGGGGGAGAATGGACTGGGGCAGAAAATCCAGTCCCCAGCCCAACCCCCTGCAGCACTGTCTGAGCATAACCCTTCCTATTTATCTTAAAAGCTCTTTGCCTCAGTCCTGTTTGACTCCCAGTACTTTTATTAACAGCATAAATTCTTGCACAGGCCTCTTACATGTCCTATTTGCTTTCCAGCCTGGCTAAACCCCTAAGATTAGCTTCCTTACAGACATAATTAACAATGCACCATGCACCTTCCTGCCTCTGAACGTGGCTTGATCTCACCCAGGATTATTACAAAGTATACTAATTGTTGAACAAAACCACCTAGAAATTGCATCTGGTTCTTCACTGCACTAATGAGAAACTCTACTGAATTACTCGTCTTAATGTAGGTTTTGCTCAGATGCAATAGCATCCATCTTCCAACCAACACTAGGAAAGGCCAATCAGCTCAATACACTGAAGTAGGGAGCTATAAGGTACCAGTAACTGTACAACTATTGGATGGCTCGCTGTTTTCTGGGACAGTGCTGGTAGGAGGGCAGACCTTAAAATCCTCCTGAAAATCCATGCCCACACCTTGAATTGTCACAGACCTGGCAAGGTAATCCCTCAGACTTTCTGGCCTAAACCTTGAACAATACAGTTTTATCAGCCCACAAGGGACCAGGACAGCTATGGACAACAAAAATGGGAGTAGATCTACGCTTGCACGTTCAATTCATTGGTCCTACATTTAACCTCCCTAAGGCAAAATAAACTCCAAACGAAATTGCTTGTACTGCATAGCAGAAGCCTCTAATCTCTGCAAGACTCAAGTGAAAGACAATTTTAGAAGCTTCACTTCTTCAATGAAACAAGTTTAAATACAAAACCAAATAAAACCACCAGTGAAGTGTCTCCTACTGTCATCTTAACGTTTCTAATTTGCTGCAATGTTTTGCACATAAAAGCACTATAAACTTTACAGGACAAAAGCTAGAAGCTTTGGCCCACATAGATAGGGAAATTGTCGCAGCTATAAGCCCACTGAAAAGCACAAGAGATATTTGCAATTGTGAAAAAGAGGTTTATAGCAACATTTCTGCTAAAATAATCTAAAACAGAACACCAAGTGCACTTAGAAATTTAACTAAGTCAATAAAGCTTGCTGAATAAAGAGTTCCTGTCTTGGAAATATTGTTTCAAGCTCCCCACATATGCCAAAAGATAACATTTTTTGAACTGCAGACTTTTTTTCTAATATGCCCCATACTAGCTGCCTTGCAGGATTTATATATGACATATGCACGTGTATGACATTAGAAATAATTGTTACAACCTGAATTTAATAAATAAAGAAAACTTCAGCACACAAAAACCCTTTCAGTGGTCTGCTCCTTTAAAAGGTGTATTTAAGTATAGATCTCTCATTCTCCCTTAATTAAGACTTGATTTTTGTAAACATACAAAAAATTATTTTTTTGTACCACCATATCTTCATGTTCTTACTGCAGCAGCTTTATTAGGTACTTTCATAATTAGGCACTGCATTCTTTCTTATTACTAAAATACCTAGACCTAGGAGTGCTCTTTTGGACTATGTTCACAAATAAGATTTTAAAATATCTCTTTAAACTCCAAGTGGAATTTGCTTCTACTTTCAGAAACCAGAATATCCTCCTAGGGACACACATTAAAAAAATCTATACTTTTAACTCTGTTCTTACAGCAATACTTCCAATTCTATACAAAGGCTTAATAGCTCCCTCATAAACAACTGTCACGAGTGGGATAAAACGTATGTAGCAGGATTATATTGGCAGTGCAGATTTTAAAGGTCTTTAAAGATATTGCAATAAAAAGGAACAACATTGTTTGTGTCATGGCTAAGAGATGCTTGATTTATGATTAAATGTATTTTGTAACACAAGAGCATTTATAGCAAACTTTTATTCAATAGTTTAAAAGGTGTATGGACATTTTCATGAACAAAGAGTTACTCAATGGAAAATACCTTCCTTTCCCTCTTAAGTTCTTCCACGAGAACAGCCTTTAAATGCATTAACCTACAGCAGTCAGTTTTCAAATGCATGGGTATTTTTGGATTTCTTGTGTACATATATAGCATTTCCATATTTAAGAAGCTATTGTCCTGAGCAGTGTATGAAAAGACATTTAAACTACCTAGTTACAGGACATTTACCTGATTGACAAGCACAGAACAATTTATAGACTTTAAACATTTAATATGCCTTTTCATCAAGGAAGGCAAATGATAACTGTAGGACTGTTTAACACTGTTAGTGTTAATTTAGTATCATGTATTTAGATCTGCAGTAGAAAGACACACACAAAACATTTTTGTGGAGTATATTTTGTTACAATAAACCAAGCTTGTACTCCATCATCATGTGTGGTTCTCCCATAACCTCACTCTGTGAAGGATCTGGAAAAAGAAAAGTTGACAGCATGAGGCTTTTACTAAGGTACAAAGACCATCAATAACTATGAAAAAAACCATTTTTTCATTATAACGTTTAGTGCAACAGTTGCTTGACTGATTTTTGACAGTGTTGCGCAATGTAGCTCTGTAACTCATAAGTCTGTCCAAAACCTTGATCAGATAACAAATATATATATCGTCATAAAGACACATATATTCTTCAAGCAAAACCAACCATTTCTACATAAGCACAGACTCCTGTAGCCTGAATCTCAAGGCTGATCAAGTTTTGTGTTTAAGAAAACAAGTCTGATTGAAGCTTTTCTCCATAGTTGCCCTATACCTGTTTCCAATACAACTTCTCTGTGCAATAGCTCACAGTCCTCCCTTCTGTTAACTGGGATATACTCATGGTTTCTTTTCTCCACCCAACTGCTTAGTTTCACAGAAATTCTATAACCTTAAATATTCCCTCCATTCTGTAGAGTATGGTTGACATTAGCCACTGTACTCAAAGGTTATCAAGGACTGTACAGAGAACACAAGAGAGACCAATACTGATAGTATGAACTTCATTTCCCTATTAAAAAAAAAAAAAAATCAAGACCAGAAGACAGGTTATGACTGCACTTCGGAAGAAATACCACTTTCTTTATAGGTGTATCAGAGTGTTTTCCTTCCATAAATAAGACATATTAATGCCTCTAATTCCTCCAGAGACAAAAATACCTAATCCAGTCTCAGCTAATAAGTAGAGTCTTGCCAAAAACACTCGTAACCCACTTGTCAGCATTCTATAAGCATCTAACAGCTTGTTGTGAGCAATGGTAAATAACCAACTTCCTATAAATTATGTTCAACATTGCTCTTCCCCTGCTGAACCACAGTAGCCTGAGATTCCTTCCCTCGATCCCTGTATATCCATCTCAGAATTTTACTTCATGCCTCTAGATTCCTATTTATTCTTTATTATTTCCAGTTTCATATGTCCCCAACTATTTTCATTCTCCAATCGCATGTCAAAATACTCTCTCCCTTCTTC